AAACTAGGGTTCTGAAACTGGGGTTCTGAAACTAGGGTTCTGAAACTTGGAGTCTGACACTGGTATTCTGAAACTGGTGTTCTGAAACTAGGATTCTGAAACTGGGGTTCTGCAACTTGTATTTTGAGACTGGAAAGTCAGATTCTGCAACTAGTATTCTGAAACTGGGATTCTGAAACTGGAAAGTCCGATTTTGCAACTGGCATTCTGAAACTGGTATTCTGCAACTGGTGATCTCCACATCATGCGATAGCGCGTGCCTGTGACTTCATCTTCGAAGCACATCCAAACCAACGTCATTAGCCCCCCACCCAACCCCCCCACCCCCCCAATCCCCCCTTGTCCCCAACGTGTGATCTCGGCATCACGCCAACCCCCTCATCAAAAGTTGCGGAGTCCTAATCCACAATATCCACAATTTTGCGGAATCCTAGTTGCGGAACGCCAGTTGCGGAATCCCAGTTGCAGAACTTAGTTGCCGAATCCTAGTTGCGGAATCCTGATAGTTGCAGAATCCCAGTTTCGGAATTCTAGTTGCTGAATTCTAGTTGCGGAAACCTAGTTGCGGAATCTCAGTTGCGGAATCCTAGTTTCGGAATCCTAGTTGCGGAATCCCAGTTGCGGAATCCGACCAAATAGTTGCGGAATCCTAGTTGCGGAACTCGACTTTATCCCCTGCCTAAACCCCTGTGACCCAGTTCTGCGGCGAATGACATTCTGTCAGTTCATCTCCGCCAGTTCATCCCGCAGATCATTAGTTGGCATCCGCCAATCAACCGACGTCAACCGCGCCTTGACGGCATTGTGCTCCTCCTCATATGCGGTCTTCATACTCCGCAGGTTCTGTTGCATGGCGCAGCACAGATGCACCAGGTCCTCATGGCTCAGCTGTGCGAAGTCCTCGCCAACGCGGGGTCGATGCGGAGGGAAGCGGTGCGGAGGGAAACGCGGAGTCGGTGCAGTGGACGTGTTCAGTGAGTCATGAGGTGGGTGGGACATGGTGGGAAAACAGGACATGTCTCCTGAGGAGTGGAGCTTTCGAGATAAACAGACTGCGAGAAACCCAAAGGTTGAGAACATGAGCATTGAATCCTGAACATTTTATGAAGCCAAGCAAGTCTTTTGCAAAGGTTGCTTAGGAGAAGAGGCATGACGAGGTCGTGCCTCTTTGTGTCTCCCTTCTCCAATTTTTGTGAACTGGATCACCTAGCCGTGATCTGGGACAAACATCTTCGCTGTTGGGGGACAAACACCCTTCGCGAATGTTGGGGACCATTTTGAGATGAACATTCTGAACATATACCTGGAACAAATGAGATCTCCCGATCACATCCGATCACCTGTTCTGCCATAGGGCGCACTTCTACACAATTTGCAGAATGTTCGCTTGCAAACTCTTCCACTGCAAAGAACAACTCCTTTAAGAAACGTGAGCCATGAAGAAACAAATAGAATATGACCTTCATCAATCTTAAAATAAGAATACATAAGCATACATAAGATATTTCCCGGCTTAAGATAAATGGCCCTAAACTTCCAACAATTCCCGGAACGGGTTCCGCTTGGACTGACCTTTTCGAAAGAGCTTGAATGCACACAGCTTGTTGAATCACCGGTCTTTCGAACTGTGCCAGGCGGCCAAGTCCAACTCATCCAGGGCCGCGTTCTCAAGGCCCTTCACCTTAGAGGCCGATCGATCACCATGTTTGTTTAAGTGAAAGAACAGGAAAAACACATAGACAAACAGAACGAACACTGGACATGAAAACAATCGAATCACCATCTTGGAAATGCGATTTGATGGCGTTGTGAACCCTGGGACCCGCTGGGATGCTGGTTGACTCACCACAAACATGGACGCGCAACGTCCGGTTGCGCCACCATGCCCTTGGGCTTTGCTGGGCTTTGCTGGGTACAGGGGTGTTTGGTAAGGTCAAATGATCGGTGGAGCCAGATGATCACCCACAAAAAAGATGAGGACAATATCTCATTGGTGAAGAACATCAGCACGAATCAATTACGGATTATGTATGGGCAACTAATTGTGTGCAAATGGCAGATGGAATCGGCAGGCGACGCAAATTATCAAGAACCTTCGCTAAAACTTCACGGATGCTTCAAATCCAATTTCAGGCGGGCGTTGGGGTGTTGTAGATAGACTACACAAACTTGGCAAACGAAAAGAACTGCAATGAAGAACTTGAAGAAGAATCTAAGCTTTTTTCTTTGAATATAACATCACAAACACCAGCAGACCAGGACCACACAAAAACCGAATCAATGAATGCATCTGCACGGGGCTGTGGTGGCAACTACATGCATCCCGTCGTTGTCTACAAGACAAAACACACCGCTGGTGAGTGAGATTGGATCCTACGTAGGTACTGAGGAAATGCCAAATCACATGCAATGGAACCACCTGAGCCGGGTGGAATGGAGTTCTTTTGACACAACGAGTGTGCATCGAAGCATCGGTGTTATTGACTCGATGGTGCTTTAGAGATCTGCACATCGACTCGAGACACCTGTTTTGGCATTGGGAAAACGAGGTTCTTTGTTTCCAAGTGAACCATGATCCGAATAGCCACTTGAACTCGGGAGGCTCCCTTCCTTGGGGGGCGTCTTACGCCCCAAAATTCCTCACGAACGGCTGCGCTCTTTTGCTTGAACAGGTGCAGAATCAACACGAATCAACTCAGGGCAAAGGCTTCTTGCCGGCTGGAAGGGCCGGAGGTTCCGAGCTTCAAACAAGACTTTTGTTGATCGGTGCGACCGGGAGGTTCCGAGCGCCAAGGTGACTCACACTGATGCGGCCTTGCCAGAACCTACTGGATGTATTTAGCGATCCCCAATGACAGCACAGCAAATCACCAACTAAAGTAACTAAAGAAATGCACTCATCCTTTTTGAAGATGTCAACTGAAAGCCATCTCTGTCAATTTTTGGCGGTCTTGGGGATTCTTGGGGAGCCACTTCTCATCTTAACTTCTCCTTCTCCCAGTCACTGGAGAGAGATCTCCCTCGCTGATCGCGTCAGGGAAGCTCTTCCAGTGCATCAACGAGCGCTCTGCGTCGGCCCAGTTGGCCTCCGAGTCCTTGCGGCCTCCGACTTCGTATTCGCGAAGAAACGTGGCAAGGATCGACGAAGGAAACCGTAGGCCGTTCGTTTGGGCCAAGGATCGACTTTGTTCATAGACGCAAAAAGTAGCTCAAAGGGCCTCCCTCCGTACAAACGAACAATTTGCAAATCACAATCATAGTTTCGCTGTTTCGCGTGCCATGTTACTTGCTTAGTAAAATGTTGACAAGCAGTGATGGCTTCTTCCTGCCTTCTCGTAATCTTCTCCTGAGCTCCTCTGCTACGGACTTCTGATTTCCTACTTCCACCATCATCAATTACACACTAGTAGCTTCTGGTTCCTAGTAGTAAGCCAGGAGCGCCCCTAGTAGCGTCCTTGCTCCTAGTAGCGATGCCCTTTGTTACTAGTAGCTTCTTGCCACCAGTATATAACCGCTTCAGGTCTGAGGCCTTGGTCGCCGCCTTGGCCACTTCTTCCGTCTTCCCTTTCTCCGCCTGTCTCCATCCATAGCTGATGCGCTCGTCGGGTGACCTCCTCGTTGGCGCGTTGCAGCAAGCCCACCCCGGTGCCGCCCTCCAGAAGTGTGGCGAGAAAGCGCGGCGACAGCTGGAAGTTCGACACATCATGGCGAAACATCGTGGCTGCTGTGGGGGCAGGGGATGGCAGGGGCAGGGGTGAAGTATGGTGAAGTGGGAGCTGTGGCTGGTCTCCTCGAATTTGCGACTTCCATCCGCACCCTTCCCCAACGAGGGTCTTCGGGGCTGGAAAAAGACGCTGCCCAAGAAGGTTCTGTCGAGTGGGGAACAAGCGAAACAAAACAGAAGTGGAAACACACACACATGTATAAATCACAGTTCCTTTCCCCCGTGTCTTCAAATCATTTCAAAACCTCTTTTTAGTCGGTTTTCTTGCTTCTGTCCGAAGGTAGAAACTCTTGCCAACTGCCAACTGACATGCAAAATCGTTTCACCTTTGGGCCATCATGTTCAGGCTTGGGCGGGTGTTCCAGGCCCGGCCTCGAGCCAGGCTGCGTGGGCACGCAATGCGTGGGCCGGCTCACTCCGACAATCACGTCATGATATTGGCAGAAGTAGAAGCGTATCATCCGTAGTACACTTTGGGGCCGGGCCATAACATTTTAGTCACTACGTGAAGGTGTAAGAGTGAGTGAAAAAGACTAATTAATATGAACTGCACATATTACATGTTTACAACCGCACACAATGCAGATTCATGTAGTTGCTTGTATGTATATGTATTTGCACAATACACCTGGACAATCATTGATGTAAATACTCACACCCAGCTTCGATTCTATCATAGCAAACACTAAACACTTGATACAGCGCATATGGTCATATTGTGACAGATGGAATGATATGACCAGACTGAGCCCACACAATTCTTTTGTGTTGGCATCTTCATGCATTAGAACGTTTTGGAATTCAAGTTGGGGCTTTGTGAATGGTTCATAGATGCTCTCTGGATTCTTATCCAAGTCAAACCTTGATGAGTGAACTTAAATTAAAGCCACGCCCTTTCTCGGCATTTGCTGCTATGGACGTCCTAGTTACCACTTTTGGTCAGCAACCATAACCCTTTAGTCTTTCAAGTCACCGCAGGCTTGCCCTAATTGCATTCTTTTGGCTGGGTCGGAAACAGAGAGCACCAGGGCGTGACCCTCCGCGACCGAGTCCAGCCCCTTTTGTCGCACATTTGCACTGAGATCTCCGAACTCATAGAGATGAGATGAGGCCAAGAGAAGGAGCTAATTTGTGTTCTTTCTGACATCTTTTGTGCACGTCCTTACCGAATGGAGATGATGCTCATGTTGGGTTGACATCAAATCAAGAAAACGCCTGTCACTCGTCTCTACGACACATTGACGCTCCAATGAGGTATCTGAGGTATCGGGTCTGCAGTATCGGATCGGCTGCAGTCGACATCGGGTGGATGATCGAATCGTTACGAGCGGATGCCAAATCGGTGTGGATGCACCAGAATGATGCATTTGTTTTTGGTGCATGTTAAACAATGCGGTCCGAATCTCTGAAGGCGGATGGGCTGCCGTTTTCCAGTGATTGGGCGCCTGGTGAGTATCATAGTCATCTTCCAGGACCCCTCTGGAAGCTGACCAGGAAATCTTCATGAGTCGGGTGCTGGGGATCACTTACAGGTGCGACCAGGCACTTCTCGGGACCAAAAAGAATCGCAAGAATTGACAGAATTGATACACTACTGTAGTCACTAGTGCATCGCTACTAGTAACAAGCGCATTACTATATACTAGTCATTGTTGCCATTGGCCATTGACCATCCTGTACCGATGACCAAAGACGGCTGTCCTACAGCCCAAAGACATGTAGGATCAGGGTTTTGCGTCATTCTCTGAAAGCAGTAATAGTGATACCTAAAGCAGTACCCGAAGGGCCCAAAGGGTATATTATATAAATCAACCAAGTTGGTGGAAGGATTGACATCATACCTCCACTGTATTCCTGGCTACTGTAGTGTCAGGTATGTGCTGATGCTCTCTGTTTTCAGCATGAAGGTGTCAAACACAAACCCAACGAATTGATATCATCAGGGGCTTCGGAATGAACCTGGATCACATGAAACATGGGCAAACCAAAAGCTAGAAACAGCTGGAACATGGATCAGAAGCACGACAGTGTCGCACTTGTTGTCAAAGACCCACGATTCTTTTCAAGGGTGAAGGTGATGGGATCTTCTGGCCCTTTGACATCCCTTGTTGCCTTTCGCTACACCGTCTGAGGCATTCCACATCGTCTACCGACCAGGCCGTTCGATTCCACGACGCGAAAGACCGAGGCCCTAGGCCTTAAGGCCTTCGGCTTGTTGGCCGGTTTAGTCTGTTGGGAGACCTGTTCTATGAACTAAATGATAAAACACATATTTCAACGAAGGTTTCAACGAAGGTTTAACGTCAAGTATAATCCAAATAAGGTGTGTGATGTTCTACGAAGCATAATCCAACTCACACAGGTTTCAATGTTGTGTTGCTACACTATTATTAATAGTAAAAAAGTACAAACACACTAACACGGAGCTGTCTGCATCTTCATCAAAATAATTCATCTCAATTCAATTCATCCCAACAACTGAACTCGCCCCGCAGGGTATGCAAGATTGACTTTCTCTCGCTGGCTCAAGTCGATACGTCATACAAGCCGATGGTCCACCTGCGATGTCTCATGCAATCAGACCCAGCTCTTTGTACAGGCCTGTCCAAGCCTCGGATGGCGGCCCAAATCGGTGAAACACGGCCCAAAGGGGTAAACAGCTCCGTGTTCCCTGTTGTGTTTCTTTGGTCATTGAGTCATACCTACACCACGCTACGCTTGGATCGAGGGGAATCCAATGATAAAACGCCTGGCTGATGGTGTCTCTCGCCGAACTTGCTTGGGGGGCATGCTTTGGCGCACTGAAGATCTCGGGGTTCATATAGGGTTCATGGGCATTTCTGCAATCCTATAACAACACCTAGGCGCACGGGAGAGGAAAAACTGTTTTTCCAATGTGTTGTCATGTTGGGCACTCTATTGAAGTCTGAAAGCCAGTTTGAACACCAGTTGGAGTTTGATACGTGCAACTGAAACTGGGCAACCTTGGATGTGGTTGTATAATTCAAAGAGGCAAACGCCACCGGTTGAATCGGTCACAACGAACAACCGTCCTCCCAGGAGCATCTCCTCCTTGGCCACAGCTGGTCTCGTCTGGAAACGCATAGTCCTATAATGACGCCAACTCGTCCTGCCACGTTCCCAACTTCGCTCAGGCTCCCAACTTCAATGAAGCTGCTCAGCCAATGGTGGACCACTTCCAGGGGCACCTCGCGGCGCCGAAGGAACAATTCGTCGACTCGACTGAAAGCTGAAATGATATTAGTCACATCTGGCTTAAGCCCTACACTTACTTACATGGGTTGTGTGAAAACCTTGTATGCCCGATCTACACCGCAAGAACTAGCATAAGAGTCTTTTTAGGTGCGCTTACCATGGTTTTGGATGCATCTACCAAATCTATCAACACTAGCAAACCGTCTTATATAGATGACCTATCAATATCAAGAACCATCTGTCAAATCAACTATATACAGAGGTCAGAGGTCCCCCAAATGAATAGAAAGGGCGAGAACATGGTTACAGTTTGAGACAGGTTTCATTTCTATGTCTATTTTGGACTGACTGTGGAATACTATGTTTTAATACATATTTTATATCGTTCTATATTGTAATCTATGGGTATCTTACAGAGATGTGTTCCAGAGTGGGGAGGATGTGGTACTTCTCTCTTTCTGCCTGGGCTCGTCCAACTACTTCTCACTCCACATCCGGTCCACCTGGGCGCCCTGGCCCACTCATCCAACTCCTGACGGGGCGACGGCGAAAGCGCTGGTCATAGGGGTGGAGATCCAGTAACAAGAAGCTACTAGTATTATAAACATCTTTCATTGGAGAGAGCCTGTTTTCAAATCTTTAAACAACAAAGTCAATCCCAAAAGTCAAAGTCAAAAAATGTCAAATCAAACAATTTCAGAAAGTCAACAAAAAAGTCAATTTGCCCAGATCCGATTTTTTTTCGACTTTTTTTTGACGTTTTTTGACATGTTTGTTTTGATTTGTTTTTTACTTGTTCGAGCTGTGTGTGGTCTATGGTTGACATTTTTGACCTTTTTTTTCTTCATCAAGGATTCTGGCCTTAGCACATGAAAGAATTTTATAATACTAGTAGCGTCCTTGCTCCTAGGAGCATGTCTCTCGTGAGTGTAGAGTTTCTGGGTAAAGCACGTGGGTTTGATTTTAGCCGATGGGTCATGTAGCAACACTACGCTGCTCATTTCAACAATAAGCCACTGTAGAATGTTGTGACCAAACAATTTCTGACACGTTTTGGCCTTGTGGCAGATTGAGGATGAAAAGAACAACTTAAAACGGCCTCACCATTGTGCCAACCATCCCCTCGGCCAACGGACTTTATTTTTCTGTTCGCGCTCCTTCATGGTAAGGGGTTGGAAGTTCATGGCTTCGCCCATCTGATGTAAAAGATCCACAAACTCTTGCCTCGGCAGCAGAGAGCGCTGCAGGGTGCACACTCCAAGAGTCAAAGTGGATTGAGACAGCAGGCTATGCCGCGAACCAAATCCAACTGACACAACTCGCAGTGAGAAAGGGATTCTGGTACACTTCGCTTGATGAATCAATTGATATCATTTTCCCCAGGACTTTTGTGGGAAGGTTTTCTGGCGGCTCAGAATTTTCATCTTCACTTACCCCTTGCTTACCAGCCAAAACGACCCTCGTCAAAACCCTGTACCAGTCAAAGCCAACAAAGCTCATCGAAGCTTGACAAAGAGTTTCAGAGTTGTGCATTCTCACGTGAAAACAGTGGTTGTCTCAGTCGCAGGCATGCTCAAATGGTTTGAGATCTGACAGGGCTTCAGCAAGTGGTAGAGATTCATCACCTCGGCCCATCCGCTAGCTCCCGATTAGGATGGATGGAACTTGTGAGCGATCACATCCAAACATGTTGTACAAACCGTTCGTGTGTGATGAAATGCTGTGATTTGGCATACGACAGGGCAGTCATGGGCTCTTTGAGCAGTGTGGAATCTGGAGTGCAGCACT